GGTGACCTTGCTCAAGGACCAGGGCGGATCCGGGTTTAGGGCATTCCGGTTTAGGGCGGTTCCAGGTTTAAGGTGATTCCTGCTGGGAATAGGGCATATCCTGCTGCCTCAGGCGGCCCCGCCCGCTCCTTGGGTTCCTGTTGAGTTCTCGCGGGATTCAGAGAGATTTTGGGATTCAGAGCCTGGTGGAGAGTGTGGATTTTGCCCCAGAACGTGCCTGTAGAGTGCCGGTGTGAGTTCGGGAATAAAGAATTGCTGTTTGAATCTACAAGGCTGTGAGTGGCTCGTGATTTTGTGCCCAGCCAGACTGCAGCAGCAAATAATATCTGTCTAGGGAAGATGCCGCTATACCAAAAGATTCAACATTTCTTTCAAATCTTCTGTAGTAAGATATTTATTCCTACCTACATTTACCTTAAATTTTCTAGTCTCAGAATGACTGTAAAAATTACCAAGAAAACAGAAATGGTCATATGACCAACCAAAGGAACACAATAATTTAGGGCAATAGTTCTGGCCTGGTCCCCAGGTCAGTAATCTGAGCATCACCAGAAACATATTCAGAAATTGAAGGTTACACTGTTTTAACAACCCCTCCAGCTGATCTACATACCCATTCAAGACTGAGAACTTCTGGTTTATGGTAATCAAGCTGATACTGAACAGCCTTAATCTTCAGAATGTGGCTCCCATCATAAGGTGCCTGCTCCCTTGCAGCTGAGAGGCCCTCCACACAAGTTTTTAACCTCTGCCCCCATTCCAGACTGCAATCAAGATTCTACCAAGGAGTCAAGGCAGATTAAGACCTCAGACTGGGGAGAAAAAAAGAACAAAAAATGATAATAGTAAACAACAAAAAAAACAGATCTACCAGTTGGAAGGCAGAAAGAGGGAAAGAGGTAAAAACTCTGTGATTCTATTTCTCTAGTTTTCTGATTAGTATATTCCCAAATTCACTGAAACCATTAACTATAAAGAATTAAGAGTTGGCCTCTTTGAAACATATTGACAAAATGATGTTGAAATCTGGTTACACAAATAAGGCCTAGACAATAAATATTTTAAGAGGAACAATAAAACTGCAGATTCAGAGAACTAAGAGCTGGAAGGAACTGAAATTACATTCATTATTTTAATTGTAGACATATAATTGGTAAAATCTCTTTAAAGTCATCCTTGCAAACTTCAAAAAATATATTCATAAACACAACCAATTAAAACTATAATTACCATGTTTTTGTCTTAAATATCCATTCATTCCATAATTATGAAATAAAATCACACTGTCAAAGTCTCATGCAAATGTTAATACCTTTAATCTCTAATCCTCATAAACAATAACTGCTTTTTTTGTAAAATATTCGTAACATAAACAACTCTTTTTTAACAGAGAAACTGAGGTAATGTTATACAGTCTCTTTCAGAAAGTAGACAGAGATAAGTAGTTGCAAAACATTAGAGAACTATGCTAGATCTTAAGGAAAGAATCAGGTATTCTTGCTTCCCCAATGGGTTCTAAGTCTACACAACACAAATTATGCCAGTGATTTTAAAGAATATACATATTTAGTTCCTTTCCTAGTTCAAATATCCATGTTAAGTTGAAAAGTGCTAAGCCTGACATTTCTCCTCCATAAGACCACACAGGCTTAAGTAAGTGGGACCCATTCCTTTTGTCAGGTACTTGGCCCCCACCTCCGCCTCTCTTTGCACCTGAAAGCAGAGACTGTGCATTAGGCCCTTCTGGTTGAGTGCAGCTCTGGACTCATATCTCTAAGTTGACTCTGCCCAACAGAGAGATATGGAGCCAGAGGGTACATCACCATGACAACTCCCCAACCCAAGCTACAGACACAGCACTCCGAGGTCAGAAAAGAGATTTCAGTAGATATTCTGCACATTATCACTTTTGTAAAACTTTTTTTTAGTTGTAGATGGACACAATACCTTTATTTTATTTATTTATATGTGGTGCTGAGGATCAAACCCAGGGCCTCACACATACTAAGCAAATGCTCTACCAATGAGCCACAACCCCAGCCCAACATTATCATTTTCTATTAGAAACCACAATCCTCCAACTCAGTGGCTCAGCATGAACATAAACTTTGCAATTTTCCTATGGTGAATATAGGTCCCAGTTTGCCCTGAACAGTCAAGATTTATAATTTGTTCTGCTTGTATAATTATTAGTGGTGCCCCCTTTCACAATAAAAAATTGCCCCAAATAAAAAAATTTTATGGTCATCCTACAGATGAGTCCACTGTAGAAAAGGGACAGGCATGAGAGACAGTGGCAGGCTCATTGCTCTAGGCTACTCTTCATACTTTGTTCAGTGAATGCAGAAAACAGTGGACTCCCTTAACAATGATCCCAAGGCCAATAAATAATTCTGCCCTTTAAATGTAGAATTCAGGACAAAGCAAACAGCCGGTCTTCTTCCTTCTGATTGCAAGGGTACCCAGAACCATCCAGAAACTACTCCATATGCAGCACACTCCTGGATGATAAAAATATGTTGAATTCATCCCTTTAAAACATCTCCCTGCAGAATCACCACTTCTGGGAGTATTAAGACAAATTCTTGAAAAACAATGATCCCAACTCTCCCTCCTATGAGAACTATATGAAGTGAACTCAGATGCCCAAAAGGAAATGTAGGAAACAAGACAGTGTTGATGACTGCACTCAACAAATATACCAGAAGTCCAAAGTGGCAGCCCACCAATCTTTGAAGCCAACCCTCAAATGTATATTGTTTGGCCCAGAGAGGATTTTTAAAAGTTTAAAACATTTGCTATTACTTTAAAATGTGAAGTCAAACAGAAAATTTCAGATTTCCACTTTATCTTGGGAAACTGGAAGTCCGGGCAACACTGAGCTTTGCATTCATATCTGTAACTTCCAGTCGGAGTTGGGTAGCACTCTGAGAAAGGATGCCCACAACCCAGTCGTTCACAGTCCACCTCAGCCCTCTTCTCTAGTATTTGAGTTTTTAACACTGATTAATGGCTGGAGATAATCCCTAAGGAGATGATGTCTGACCCTTCAAATTAATGATCCTCTGCCAGGGATTCTCTTATTTCAGAGCAAATAAGAGTCCATATCTTTAGATCAAGGACTCATCTGGGAAATGACAATGAACACGAAAGTTGGGGCTTGTTTTAGTTTTTTTCTTTTATCAGAAAGCCATATGGCTTTCAACTGCTGCCACTAGATTAAAAGAGTATAGGCCTAAACACAGTATTTATAAAGTAATAATACATTCTTCTTCTAACACTTAAATATATAATAAAGAAGAATAAAAGGATGTTTTTAACTGCCAACCACTGAGTCCACCAGGGGCTCAACAGTCACTGTTGAGAATCCAAGGTACCATGACAACAATGAAATTAGCAATAATGTGTCATGTACCAGAATTGGGAAAAAAGCAAACAACAGCAACAACAAAAGCCTTAACACAAACTACCAAGAGTCATGAAACATTTCTTTAAGTCCTGGAAAAATGCAATTTATTCCTCCTTACTGCCATAACCAAACATGTTAAATAAATAAAGATGGTGATAACTTTCAGAAGCTTTCCAATTTTATCATACATAAGAGCTAAAAATAAATTTTGAACAAATGAACATAAACTAAAATTCACTAATCATGGTTAGGATTTTGAGAGAATCTATACCAAGGCAATCTGCCATATATGTAACAGTGATCACAAATTAAAATTGCTGCCTTCACACTAAGAATTCTGATTATTAATATGTTTAAGTATTTTGCAAAGTAATGAAAGCAAATACAATAAACTTTTATTTTCTTCAATTCAGCTACTGGCCTTTTGTGAAAGATTTGGTCAAACAAAATGTCTTTCAGTTACAGACCCTAGAATTATGAAATAAGACAAAAATTAAAACCTTATTTATAGGATGTTTTTCTCATCTTTCTATTATTAATTTCCCAGCTAGCAAAAGAACACCACATGGTCCAACCTGAGACTTTATTTATTTATATTTAGACACCTCTATTGTTCCAAAGAACTTAAAGTACTTTATCAACATTAAATAATCATTTTTAAAACAGCACTTTGGGCTTTTCATATTGTTTTTAAAAAATAAACTCTTTACACGTTTTTTAAAGCCTGCTTTCAAAGGCATAATCACTGTGGTAAAGTTTTCCTGTCGCTGTTAGATAAGGACTGTACCTGTTTTGAAGGAAGTCAAAGTTAAGTTTAGTAATAGAACACTTAGATTTTGTAAACTATTGGGTGAAAATGGAAAAGAAAACCATTTTTGTAAATGGCATTTGAAACCTCTTCTATTACGCGGGTTTTTAAGTCACCCAAGTATGTATTAATTTTGTTTCCAAAGAGTGTGTCAACACGCAAATAAGGTCTTCTTCCCACACAACATCCAAATGCAGATTCGTATTTTGCTACCAATCTGACAAGGTCTAGTAACTTTTCCCTAAACCCGGCTTGGAAATCGCCTCCGGGACAGGATACCTGCAGGTGCTGCTGTGATCAGGATTCGACCGGTCAAACGGGTTAAGGTGCAGAGCTCCACGAGACTGAGAACAAGGGCCTCTAGGAACCCAACCCTCTCCTCCGTTCCCAATAACACACTCACACGTGCACACACAAAAACACCAGGGGAGGACAGGCAAGCTCTTTGCAGTCACACCCCTGACACCGCAGAACTCCCAAGACGCGCTTCTCCCCGCGTCTTCCCCTAAAGCCCCAGCTCTTCCTCTGTCCCGGGACTGCTCTCCGCCGCCTCCCTCTCCCTGAGTCTGTGAGCCGTCTGCTCCGGCCGCACGCCCAGCCACCAAACGCCTTCTCGCCCACTCTCAGGTCCCAGGAGACTAGCAAGCGGAGCACTGGAGCGCGCCACGTGGAGCGCGCGCGCCAGCAGCCCAACCACTGCCGGTCCTTAAAGTGGGGTCCCTGCCCTTGAGTCTTGCTCTAGCACCCTCAACAGCCAGGCCCACCCCCGCGCCCGGGACTTGCCTGGTTAGGGTCTGTGGCGCGGAAAACGTGACAGGCCATCTGTGACTCAGGGTCATCGGGTTGCGCCTTGATCAGGTAGGCAAAGTAGGTGAGGTCGTGGCTGTTGTGGATGAAACGCGAGATATGCTGCGCCTTGTGCTCGAAGATGAACACTGCAGGGTTGGGCTGCGTGGCCGCGGGGCCAGCACTCCCCGCGGCCCCGGCGCCGGGCGCGGGGATGCAACGCAGAAAGGGCGCGCTGAGCACCAGAAGTACCTCGCGGGCCGCCGGCGCCCCACAGCCTCCCGCTTCGGGCTTCTGGCTGCGCCGGCGGATCTCAGCCATGAGCCAGGGCAGCATGGGCAGCGTGGTTCTGTGGTCCAGGCACGACCCTCCCACGTACCACAGCCGAAACCGTTTGTCGCCGGGCTTCCCGGAACCGGGCTGCGCTGGTGAGCCCGGCTCTGGCTCCAAGGGGTGCGGGAACGGCTCATCCTGAATGCAGCTGGGCGGCTCCATAACTCGCGCCTCACGAGGGCAGCGGGGTGGCAGACCAGGCGCACCGCGCTCCCAGCTCTGGCTTTGAAGGCGGGGCCGAAACTGTGCCAACTACCACAACGGCCCCCCCCCCCCCCCCGTTTCGCGCGACGAGACCCCCAACTCGGTGTTTCAGCGGCCCTGCCCCATGGGGCACTTCTCCGGGAGCGGCTCGGAGGCTCTAGCTGCTGGCACCCAGACGAGCGCCCAGCAATGGACGGGCAGGAGGGTGCGGGTTAAATAGACATCCTCCTTTCTCCAGCTCGCGCCTCCGGGCCGACTTCCCCCTTCCTCGGCCGCGGGTCTGCAGGGTAAAAGCACCTCGCCAAGGGCCCCAGCCGCCGCCCGCTCCAGCGCTGCAGCCCGCTGCGGCCGCCGCGCTGGCCTCGGGCAGGCACAGGGAGGCTGGGCGGGGAATGGGACTGTGGGCGGGAGGGGGGTGACTTGGGGCGGAGCTGACTCCTACCAGGGTGACCGGCTGTCACCTGGAAGGTCGGGGCCGCCGGGCTGCGGCGCGCTCTGTGCTGGGGAAAAGCCTGCGAGAACTATTCGGATGGAAAATAACAAAAACAAAACGTAGCCTCGCGGGGGCCGCTCCTCCTCCCGCACCGCTGCAGCCCGGCTCGCTGCTCCTCCTCCTCCTGCTGCTGTTCCCGTCCCTCCCTCGCTCCTTCCTTCCTTCCTTCCATGCTGCTTCTTTAATCGGGCAGCTACCCCCTCCTCCCGTCCCGCGGGCAGAGAGCTTCGCCTGCGGAGGCTTATCTATGAATCCGCCTCTCCGCCTCTTCCTCCCGCCCCCGCCCCGCCAATTCGCCCCAGGGAGCAGGAGCCCCAGAGCCTGGTGCGGGCGCGGCCCGCGAGTCGGCCAATCTCGGTCCCCTCCTGGGTATCTCTGCTGCCCCCTGGAGAAGGGACCACTCGCAATGGGGCACTGGGAAAAAATTTAACAGTACTGCTTGGTTTCAATTTCTTCTCAAGCCTGAACATTATTTTCTGCATCCTCTTTCCTAACAATCTCAAAAACTACTCGTGTTTTGAGTCACAATATTATAAAGTATTTTAATTCCAACTTTTACTTTAAGATTTAAAATAGTTTGACAACATGAATCTTTGGGAGGGAGAGCGGTATGTTATTTGTTTTTTGGTGAGGAAATCCAACTCAGTTGACATCATGCTAGGCAATGCTCTACCAATGAGCTACATATGAGCCCGCTTCCTATTTCTTAATTCCTATTTTCTTAAAATATGGACAAATCACACTTTGTTATATATACCTCCAGTTAAAATCTAGTGTGTATTTGGATATATGTATTTCCCAAAAAAAAAACTCAGAAAATATTTCAGGGATAATTTGACCATTCTAATTTTAAAACAGAAAGGTAGAGAAGTATTCCTTTTCCTATTTTGACACATCATACTCATTCTGTTTACTCTTACTGAGTGGTAAGAATTGCATAAGAGAGAAACACAAAATAATTAGGAAAGACCCTGAACTTCCTGACTTTGTCCCAAATGCTTATAGGAAAAATAAAAACCTCAGTTTCTTATTACTTTTTACTTTAATGGTGTTCTTTCTTTTCCTAATACCCTGGAGCCAATTTTTTTCCCCTCCTATTTAGCAATAAGATCAACTGCCATTATTCCTGTGCTGAATTTCTGGGGGCACCCTGGTGGCCTCTTATTAATAAGTACCTTAGCTACAAGATAGAGATATCATTGATCGATTGGGTCAAAGTTGTTTGGGTTAACCACTCCAAAAACCTTTGTGTAAAATAGACGCATATCCTCAAGAAGCAATAATGAGTTCTGAAAACATAGACTAAGACCTTTTAGAACCTTACAGAAAATCTCTCACAAGGATGGCTGCACACATGAGAGTTGAGAAAGAAAAGAACAAAACATATGGAAAAATCACAGAAGTCTTGTAGGTGCCACTACATCAACCAGCTTGGGAGCTAGGATTGATTAGAAACCTCTGGAAGCCCGTTCCTATGGACATAATAAAGTGAAGTAACACCAAACAAATTTTCAATTATTGATGGAAAAATGAGAGGATGGTCTTTTATTTTATGACATGCTTAAGTTAAATTGATTTTTGCTCTGGAATGCCCATCACCCTTTCTTTTGTAAGATTTCTATAATATTTATCTTACTATATTTCTGAGCCTGACACATGGAAAGATAGTTTTTTCTGCCCTCCTAGAAGTTAGCCATGATTATTTATATGATTTATTTTGACAGTGAAATGTGAACAGAAGTGACTTGGGTCACATCTGGAATAGAAGCATTTAATTGCCTGCACAGTAGTCCACAGTCAGCCCACTCTTGCTCTCCAGTGGTCATGGTGAAAACAACACCTCCATATGAAGGTGTCTCCTGATCAGAGCAACCCAGGGTGCTGAGCCACCACACCGTGGGCATCTGTTCTGGAGAATCTCCCAGCCACACAGCAGACTCCTCAAGCATAGGAAATAAGCTCTCATTGAGTTAAGCCACTGAGATTGTTGGCTTGTTTGCTACCTTATTGTTAATCTGTGCTAGACTATCAAATAAAATTTTTATACTCCAGTACATGTTTTGTTTTGTTTTGCTTTGCTATACTGGGAATTGAACCTAGAGGTGCTTTATCACTAAGCTACATCCTCAAGCCTTTTTGTTTGTTTGTTTGTTTATTTCAAGGCAGGATCTCACTAAATTGCTGAGGCTGGCCCCAAACTTGCAATTCTCTTGCCTCAGTATCTGAAGTCACTGGGATTACAGATGTAAGCCACTATGCCCGGCTAAGTACATGTTTAATGTAAGTTATTTTCTAGTCATTCATACATTTGACTTAGTACATAGATGAACTAGATGGTAAACTATCACCATTGTTTCATTGGCACAACTTACAGAATTATACACACAAAAAGTACTCAACTTGAATTCAGAGAAAGATGAGAAGACAAAATGCAACTAAAACGTCTGGGTAGGTATTACACAGAATATGATGTTTACTAAATGGTGAGGCTATAACTATGCCTCAGGCCCCCAACCCTTTTACTTTCAACTTCCCCTACCCCAGCCCCCCAAAAGACCCAAAGAATATGCTCATAAAAAGAACTTTCAACAACCTGATGGAAGATCTTTCCTGAGTTGTCTTGTAGGACTCTCCACCCGTGGTATGCAAACATGAATTTCATATATTTACTTTTAGAGTGTTCCCCTTATATTCCAATGGAAATTGATCAATTCTAATTTGTTGTAAGATACAGTCAAATCTTAGTTTTTAAAAAGTTTATACCTCATGAGAAATATAAGGGCCTGCGCTAATATGATAGTGGAAGATTGCAAAGTTGCGTTGTAATCTCTTAGCTTGTTTCCTTGCTCCCAAGCACATGGTGTGCTCTTTTTCTAACACCCACCCCCTTGTGTAGGAATGCCTCTCTCTGGCTCTCCTCTCTCCCTCTTCCTCCCTTCCTCCCCCACCCCACCCTTTTTGTGACACATACTTTCATTTTTCTTCCCTGCTTAAAAATCTCTAAGCATCTGAGCAACTTAGTGAAACCCTGTCTCAAACTAAAAAATAAAAAGGGCTGGGGATATGGGAGCTGGGGTTATGGCTCAGTGGCAGAGTGCTTGCCTCGTATATGTGAGGCACTGGGTTCAATTCTCAGCACCACATTAAAGTAAATTTAAAAAACAAAATAAAGATATTTAAAAATATATTTTTAAAACAGGGGAGGGCTGGGGATGTGGCTCAGTGGTTAAACGCCCCTGGGTTCACCCCCCCCCCCCCCCCCCACAAAAAAAAAAAGAAAAAAAATCATCTCTAAGCAAAGATACTTTCCCTAAAGCACAGTGATCAAATCTTCACAGTTATATTTGCCTCTTCCCTTCTCCTACTCATATAGCCAGACAACCTCACAGTTTTCAAATATATGACATGCTTTTATGTTATGGGACTACACTGGCTTCTTCTTTCTGATTGCCTTCTACCACCACACAAGGTGAATTCCTCCATCCTTAACTACTTGAACAACTATTCTTTCTTCAAGACCCAACTCAAGGGTCTTCTCTTTTGTGAAGATATTTCTTATCTCCCCAGCCAGAATGAGTGGCTTTCTCTTCTTTGCTCTCTTTTCTATACATTCTGCTAGAATGGGAATGTATTGATGATGGGACGACTGGATTCCACCACAAAGGGAACATCTTAAAGAGAATGGGTTGTTTGATTTGTCTTGGCGTTTCCTCCAGCAAAAAGCCCAGTAGCTGATAATTACTAGGTACTTGGTGAGTATTGAATGTTTGAACAAATGAATTGAAGTGAGTAAATAGCTAATTGAAATTTAAGAAACTAAGAGTAAGAGTTTTACTGTCACAGAGGTGACATACCAAATTATTTAATTAGCTAATTTCTGGTTAACATACTAAATACACCTACCAGCTAATTATAAAACACTAGAAAAATAACAGAATGACTCTCAAAAATAGTGATGGGATTCTGGCTGGGGATTATAAACACCACAAACTTTATTTTCCCCCTTTGGTGCTGGGGATGGAACCCAGGGCCTTCTGCATGCTAGGCAAGTACTCTGTTACTGAGCTATATTCCCCCAGCCCCAAGAATAGCATCTTCAGATGTTGTCAGGGGTTTTCCCCCAGTGTTCCCTGTTCCCTGCGACCTTGCCCCAGCCCTGGCAGCTGTGGCATTCCATCTTCCTGCTTCAGGGAAAGGATGACACAGCAGAACACAGAGAACAAAAGAGTCCATTCTTAGCTTTCAGGCTGCCAAAGCTAAAGACCTGGCAAACGCAAAGGATTTAGAATTTATGTTATAAGTGTCTGTTTATCTTGCTATAGATACTAAAGTTTTCCCAAACTTGAAAGATGGAGAATAAGAAAGAAGGAGTAAAAGAGGGTTAAGGTGCTGTGGATCTCCAGAGAGGGAATCTTGGCTATGTCCCCTTTGGCTGAGCCAGTGAAGGGGCCATGGAACCCCAACCAGAGGCTTGAGTGTCTCTTCCTAGGGGGAGCTCAGAAAACAGTAAGACCTGACAGAGCAATTTTTTCCCATGTCCATAATGGGGAGTGAGCTGAAGAAGGACAGATAGGCAGAAGACTGGAAACAACCTCAGAAACAACCTGTATGCCCTGCATGGTACAGGGGGCAGCAGCCTATTTTCTCATGAAGCCACAGGAAGAAAAGCATACAGACAAGCCAGAGTCAGGGAATAGAAGAGGTTTTACTTACTGTCAGGGCAGGATGACAACGTAGTGACTATGTTACACATACAGTAAAGGCCCAAGGTAACAACTCTCTAGGTCTAGAAATTATCCAATCCAGCCTGAAGCTGAAGGCAGAAAACTTGAAAAAGAAATTCTTTAAAAAAAAATTTAAAAATGTGTTGTTCTTGGGCAG